AAAGGAAAATTACAGACATATGAAAAAAGGGGGGGAAAAGAAAATAATAATAAAAAAATAACAAACTGGAAAAAAAAGGATAAAATTTTATTTTAAAAATTCGGAAAATAAAAGATATAATCTTTTCATCAGCCCACACGATTATATCCTCAAAAAAGAGTGCTTTCTAATATTGTATCAACATAGCCAAAGCAAAATATATCAATACAATAGTGTGAGGAGCACATATACATATATATATAAGCCAATGTTAAAAAATAAATAAGGCATGCAATGCTTGGAAATTAAAATATACCCACTCTCTTATAGTAACGAAAAGATCTAGTAATGGTTGCACAGTGGGTAAAAAAAGCATATACCTTTCCTTGTCGTAATTTTATCTTTTAAAAAATATTGCATCAGTAACAATATCTATGAGAGTGAAGGTCATTTAGTCTGTGATAACACAAATAAGGAAGAAGACATCAAAAGTGAGGATGATGCATGTCTGGACCTTCCGATAACTGAGCAGAACTTTGCTGAGAATCTGATTCTGATACGGAATTTAATGGATTTTAGTGTATTCTTTTTGTTTTGTATATATATTTTCATCTACCTAAATATACGTAAGCTAGAGGATTAAAAAATAATAGTATTCCTTTTGAATAGTTCTTTTTATGTGTTTTTAATTTAATGTTAAGGTATATTTTATCAAAGATTAGTAAATTGCAAAATTGTTTTGATAGCCTTTTTTATAAAAATGTTGTGACTTCTTACCGAATAAAGTTTGCACCTTTTTGCATTTTTAAAAAAAAAAAAATTATTTCAATTCAGAATATTTTACATTTCCTTACATTATAAACATTTACATTACATTATCAAAAAAAGTGTCAACTCAATTAATTTCTGAATATTTTTAGTATAAGAAAAAATTTCTGAAATCTGATATAATTGTATTTAAATGTCAAGATCATGAAGTTAAAATGTGTTCTAGTTATAGCTGTAAATATCAAGTTCTTTCAAGACCAAGAGAATATTTTAATATATCACCCTTTTTAGTTACTAAGATAACCAGCTAAAATAATCTTTTATTTTAATTTTAAAGAAATGTGTATCTTTTTTATGAGGGTACACTAAAATACTGTAATTTTTCACGCTTGTCATTTAAAAAAAATATTTTCAATGATTCTTGTTTATTTTTGTTAATTACTGCTTATATTAGGTAAAAATTTAAGAATATTTTAAGACTCTCTGAATTACCTGTTTCAAAATATTGTTAATATAATAGTACATTTTTAAAATCTGATACAGAATTATTTTTTACATAACAAAATGTTTTGTTTCGGACAATTTTCCACTGAACTATTTTTTTTTTCTTTTAAAAAAATACTTATCTTCTCTATTCTGGTAAAACTTGAAATAGTGTTGTAAAATTTACGGTAAACAAATATTGATAGCAAATTATTGTTTTAACTTGGTATGCATGTTGATAGCATTTCAGTCATTCATATATATATATACATAAAAAAGTATTTCCAATATGTTAATTTTTCGAAAGGAAATTCCAGTTCCCCCGTATTCTTGCTATTGTCACTGTTAACAAATTTTAAATTGCTTTTTTTTTTAATGCTATGGCGTCCATTATGTATTAATATAACTTTTTAAAAAATGCTTTTCTAAAAATTTTATGTTGAGACAAAGAAAAGAAAAAAGATATTTAAAACAAAATATTATGATTTCCAAGAATAAAATGTTTTCTTTTTTAATTATTTTATCTTTTTCAGCCTTATTTTATAATCTAAAATGTATTCTTTCTTTTTTATTTTTACTTTTATGCCTTTTTTATAAAACATCTAAAAATAAAAAAAAGTATTAAAATTCTTAGCTCAATATATTTTGGAAGATTTATATCACTAAAAATTCTTTTATAGGAATTTTCGTTGCTATAAAAATATTTTAGCTAAAAACATGTCGCTTTAATTTTTATTTCAGGCTGTGACAATAATGAATTAATGTTTTCAACTGCAATCATCAAAGAAATAAAAGTTGTATGATAATTTTTTTACACATTTTTTTTCCCTTCAATTTTAAAATTCTGGCGAAGGTATGTATAGGATGTCTTATGTGGATTCACTTTTCCTTTGAGTTATTCCCTTGTAAGAACATTCTCTCTTTGTTAAGATTATTATAGAGAAATTGAATTTTTTTTTATCATACAACCAGTCACCATCTTCTAGTAAAATTCCGAAAGTATGAAGGTAAGAAATTAAGTAAACGTCAGTTAAAAAGTTACGTATCAGGATAAATATAACCTTGGTCATAGAGGTTTTGATTTCCTATAATTGATTTGCTATTTACATTAAAAGTTTTTTTTAAACAAAAATTTTTTTAGTTTATCGAGGATAAACGTCATCGGGATTATTATGATGCAGTTCCTATAGATGAAGGTGTCAACAAACGTTCTAAATTAAGAATTCAAGATAAAGAGCTACAAGAAATGTCAGATGAAGGGATGTGCCTCAGTATGCATCAGCCTCATGCATCATTGTTGACTGCTGGAATCAAGAAGTACAAAATATATTTTTAATTTGTTTCTATAATTCATTAGTGTTTCTACTTTGCTATTTTTATTTTTATTTCATCAGTTTTAAACTGATTTTAAACTTTGATGTTTTATTTCAAAGGGTTTTTTTTTTCTTTTGTATCAATTGTCAAATTCTAAGATTAAAATATTTTATTTTCATTTTACTCCTCTGTTTTGTAATACAAATTTAAAATTTTACTAGTTTATAGTTAGTATTATTCTTTTTTCTGAAATATTTTCTTTAGGATTTGTTAAAAGATTTTAAAATATGTAATGTGTATTTTTCTCTATTATTTAAAACTGTATAAATTGTTATATTATTATTAAGTTTATATTAAAAGAAACTATCAGTAATATCTATTAACTTATTTTCTTTGTGCCGAACTGGCACATAAGGCTTCGAGTTTTTTTCTCCACACACTCGTCTTTGGCCTGGCAACGTCCTTCTTCCCATCCAGTTAATTCTGCTCTACTAAGATCTTCCTTAATGCATCTTTGCCATGTTAGTCCCGGTCTCCCTCTTTTTTCTTTTTCCGTCAGGCGCCCATGAGCTTGCAACATTTGCAGGATTGTTTCTATCTGTTCTTAGTATATGGGCGAGCCATCTCTATCTTCGTTTAAAAGTTTCTTTATCAACAGATTGGATATTAGCTTTTGTTAAAAGGTCTTTATTTGTTATAATACACAAGATTTTTAGTATTATTTTTAAGCATCTATTTTGAAAAGTCTTTCTTTTCTGATTTCCGCAGGACTCCAGCATTTGGCACCATACAGAAGAATGGAACGCACGGCAGCCTTATAGACATTTACTTTTGTTTTTAATTTTATATTTGAGGCTCTCCAAAAATTGTACAGACCTCTAAAACAGGATCTAGCTTTTCTGATTCTCTGAGAAACATCCTTACTTCCATCCTGTTTATCAACAATAGCTCCGAGATAAACAAAAAAATCAACCTCTTCGATCTTTTCAGAGTTGATTTCTATGCTTCTGTTTGAAGGCCAATTTCGTTAGCATATTTGTTAATTTTTAGTATCAAATATGGAAATAAAATTGACTTGGTCATTTTCTTTTTTTTTTTAACAAGTCTGTTTTATGAGCACATTTTCTGTTTGGTTGGTGCCACTTGCCACAGGGGCAAGCCTGTTTGGTGAAACCAAGCTAATTTGAGGCATAGTGGGCAATTCTTGTTTTTCAGTGGCGCCATCTATGGCCAAGAATTCGACTTCGCCACACCTGTTTATAAGGCAAACCCATCCATTCATTCATCCACAGATCGTAATTTTGACCTGAACCAGAGAACGATTGATCTCCAATCCAGTACCCCAGAGGTATTGATTTGTTATGGAAACATGGAGGACTTCGCGACTCGACAGAATTTTAACATGCATCAGTCACCAACTACACGGAGAGTCTACGGCCGGCAGGGTTCGAACTCTCGGACATGGGCCCAGCACCCTTCCGACCAGGCTATCCCGGCCCCCACATTTTCTTTTGAAGTGATCCTATAATAAAATGTTTTATTGCTCTCATAAAATTAAACTTGGAGTGATCTTGTCATTGTTTTATCTTCCAGATAGTCTAGCTGTATATAAATAAGTTAAGCCAATTAATTGTTTATTTCTAGGCATGAAGGAAGAGTGTGGTATACCAGTTATAGAGGGCGTCTGTGGATACATGCTGCTGGAAAAGTTCCCATCAAAGAAGAAATAACAGATATTGAGACCTTTTACTCAAGGCGACAAGGTTGGGGAGATATTTTATTGGTGATAGATTTGTCTTGAAACAAAATTTAAATTTTTTTATTTGTTATAGCTACTGAAAGTTGACATTGCTAAGATCCATAATTGTCATGCCTTGTTTTCAAAATTCTATGATTAAGAATCTTTTCATGGATAAACAATAAACAAGCTTAAGACCAGTACTGAATATTATTCTAAAAGTTGTCCCAAACCTCTTTTGTAACTCACTTATTAAAATAACATGTAATTCACTATTTGGAACTGGGTAGTAAGAAAATGCACATTAAAAGTTAAGTGTGAAAGAAATTAAATGCAACAGTTACAAATAAAAGAAAATAACCATTGTTGCTTGTAGGTACTTTCTAAGAACATAATCATGCTATTTAGTGCTTTGGAAATAAATAAAAAAAATTTAGGGGATTTAGTTTTAATTGGAGACATTCAATAAAAATTCTTTCTTTTGTACTTAATATACCAAGCTATAATAAAAACATTTACAACTATTTTTTTAGGATTTTAACTATTTTTATATTTTTTTAATTTAAGCAAACACATAAAATAATACTGAAAAAAAAACAAAAAGTATTCTTGCAACAGCCCATTGTTGGTCTATGGGGTGTGGTTTTCAAAAGGTGTTCTGTGGAGCCCTAGGGTTCTGTGGTGAGGTGACAGGGATTTTAAAAGTTAGAACTTCTATTTTTCATAACCAGTAATTAATTGTAAAATATTATATTTGTATCCAACCAGTAATCCATAATTTATTTATTAATTTGGTTTTTTTTATGAACTTATGTAAAATGCCAAAAATAATAGTAAAATTTAAAAAACATATTTTTAGTTTCTAATAGCAATACATTAAGTTAATTATGAAAAAGATATGCATTTACAAATATTGCATACATATTTACAAATTCAAACTAACTAAATTCAAAAATAAAGATTTATGTTTATCTGATAACTGTTCTCTTAGTTTATAACAATTTGTTTTCGAAAACGGTAATTCAGCTTATTTTATTCACCCTTAACTTATTACAACCTTAACCTGGCCTGTCATATGCCAAAAGCAAATTCAAAACTAGAAGCCGCTACAGACCTTTGGATTCAATGGCCTGACATATAACCTAATTGTAATTCATTAAGCATTAATTGTATTCATTAAGATTGATTCTTCACATTAAATGTATCAAAGTTAATTTGTAGTCCTTTTGATTAATATATTCACTGTTGATGATAAACTTCATAAGTTAGGGATATGCCAAATGAAAGTCAATGGCATAACCCTGACCTATAACCTAATTGTAAATATGCAATAAAGAAGTTTGATTCTTCACACTAAATATATCCAAATTAATTTGTAGTCTTTTTGGTTAATACATTCACTGCTGATGATACATTTTATAAGTTGGGATTACGACAATATGAAAGTCGATGATTTAAGGTTCCATGGCCAAAATAAAATTGCTGGTCTAAAGGGCCATGGAGGTTGAAACATATCCGTTTGCATGACGAAAATCGTCAATAACTCCTAAACGATCGGTTAATTTTCAAGAAAACTGTCATAAAAGTGCCTATTTTTTTGTATTTAATTAGTGCTGACATCTAGTTTAAAATAAACTATCTACAATTACCTTAAGAATATCCTGGTACTGCCATCTGGTGTATAAAATGAGAAATAAAAAGTTGTCCAGGCAAAAGAAATGAATGTTTTATTCTTATTGGCGCGTTACTTCTGAACACTCCAGCCCGTCAATATCACTGGAGCGAGAAATAGAGGGCGAAACCTCACGGAATAATTTTCACGGGAATGAGAAGAAAGGGGATAAATCACCTTAACAAATAACAAAAGTTTGCCATTTGTATATTGCAGTAAATAATTGATTATCAAAAAATGCCTGGATTTAGTTAATGGCAGTACAAACAATGCCGGATGGATATGCGTAAGACTCCACAATTTAGTGACCGTTGATGTGATTAAAGACATTTCGTTAGCATTGTGCTCCATAGCAATCTTTGCTTTCTGGACAATCTTATACCCATTGATATGAAGCTGAGTAGGTTTCAAGCTGCCTTGGGGATAAAAATTCTCAATTCTTCACTATTTACAGCTCAGTGTCTTTACTGTGTTATTGCAGCTCAAGTAACCAATAATAAAATAACTCAAATGAACAATAAATGAAATTAAACATTAGTTTTTGCTTAACAGTAATTAGCATTTTAATAGTATATTTTTTTAATTCCTGTAAAAAAAAATTTTTTTTTTTTTTTACAGGTTACTGTGCTTTTCCTCAAACATATCCTACAGGATGTTTACTAGGCTGTGTAGATGTTGTGGATTGTTTGCCCCAAGAAGAATATAAGAATCAAGTAATGTAACACATTGTTTTGTTGTTTCTAATACCACTTGCCAATACCAGCAAGCTATCTTGATGAAACCAAGCAAATTTAAGGCAGATTAAGCTTTTCAGTGGTATTGCAAAGAATATGATTTCATTCACACGCACATTACTGCCTGTTTATGGGGTAGATCCATTCATTCCTCCAAAGATTGTGAATTTTGATCTGAACCAGAGAACGATCAATCTCCAATTTAGTACCCTCAGAGATATTTGTTATGGAAATATGGTGAACTTTGTGACCCAACAGATTTAACTTGCATCATCATCATCATCATATCTGGCTAGACAGCCCAGGGTGGGCCAGTGCCTTCCTTTGAATTCGAATCCACTTCTCTCTTATATTTAAAAT